CCCCACAGACTCCAGTTATCCCTCTGTCCCTCCCCGATGGCCCCACAATTCCAGCTCCTTCCACCCTAATCTGGGACCACAAACATTCCTGAAAATGAGCAGGGGGATGCTTTATTCAAGAATCTGAGTTTCTTGCTTTGCTCTTAAATTTTCTTCCAGCAATTGATGGGTTTTCCYACCCATATTATTAATTTTATGTGGTGAATTATTTTAGCAAATAACTCGTGGTCTGCAGGGGACTGTAGACAGTTAACTGAGGAATTCTGGTATTCAAAGTGATTTATGGACACATGACTCATATAGAGCAGTTTCTTCTTCCAGACTGGGAGTAATTATTAAAAAAAGTCGGGTGGAGATACAGACAATACTGTACTAATTAAAAGTTTGCTTTTGCAAAGTTGTTTTGTTAAGTAATAGCTGTAAAGGTGATGAACAGCTGATATAAATACAGGCTCCATGTAATGAAACCACACCRGATGAAATATTCTTATGAACATTTATGAGTTGTTTTTTTATTTTTTCCTGGTGTTTGCCACTCACCTAGTTTACTTCTCTCTCCAGAAGTGCATATCAATGCTTATGCAAGGTTACTTTAGATGGAAAAGAAAATTGTTCTATGTTAACACAAGTTAAACCAGGCTTCTGCACAGGGAGTTCAGGAAATGATGTATTTTTCTGGTTGATCATACCAAAACCTTATACTTATCTCTGAGAACTTTTTCAGCATCYAAAAAACTCAGATAGTGGTAGAGAGGTGATAATAAACATCCTGAGAGAGAAATTTGCTTTAGATGGCTGTTTTAAAGGGTTGTGTCCATGTTGTTGAGATAATTCACACAACTGATTGTGAGAAAGGCTGGAAATGAAAGATTATTTTTTCTTTACTGGAATCTGAACGATGTAAATAAAATGAAAATCCCCATACAAAACAATTAGGCTTCCATGAGAAGACAGCACTACAAAATTATTTTTCAGATGCAAAASCTATCCTTTGACGTACTATCTGAACACCTCCAGAACTGCTGTGCTCAKTGAAACTGTGGCAGATGCAGAGGGCAGAACCTGACCTGGTCCCAGGGAATGGAATGACTGAGCAGCCTGGCCACACAGAACATGAATTTTAACATAAATTTCTCATCTCAGTGGTGTGTAAGACCAAAAGCGAAGGTGTGACTGCAGAGAGCCCTGGGAAACAGCAAGGGAGCASAGACCACGGGAGGGAGAAATGATCTTTTTCCTTTGCAATGCTGTAGTTCGGGTGAGCAGCTGAACATGGTTAAAAGAGAATAACCTCAGCAATTCCTGGCGCTGCCTGTCAGGGGCCAGCGAGGGCTGTGCAGAGCTGGGCTGGTGAAGCTGCAATGTCTCTGGGAGCAGCCCTGCAGGCTGGGAAAGGCACCCACAGGGTGCAGGGGAGAGAAAGGAATCATCCCTTCCCAAAGGGACAGGGGAGAGAAAGGAACCATCCCTGGCACAGGGGCAGGGGAGAGAAAGGAACCATCCCTGGCACAGGGGCAGGGGAGAGAAAGGAACCATCCCTGGCACAGGGGAATGGGAGAGAAAGGAACCATCCCTTCCTAAAGGAGCAGGGGAGCACAGAGGGTGAGAGGTGTTTGTGATGTCCTGGCAGGCACCAGGGGCAGGAGGGACAGCAGTCCCAGGGTTTGCTGTCCCAGATCCCCCAGGTCAGAGCTGATCCCCAGGGCTGTGCCCAGCACCCAGAGGAGAGGACAGGAGGTGTCCCAGGTGAGTTGTTATCTATTCTCCAGTTCCCCTCCATCCGCGGTGTGAGCCGGCTCCCACTCTGCTGCCGGGGCTCCCGGGGACAGGAGATGAGGGCACTGGTGACAACGGGGACTGGGGGCTCCTTAAACCCCAGTGACATTGGGAACTCTGGCTGAGGAAATGGCGCAACGTTTGCCTCGGACGAATCGTTCAGTTTTAATTTTCAGCGGTCATTTGTGCTGGGGCAGAACTCAGTGTTTCTCTGTGCCGTGTCACATGTCCCCAGCRAGGCACAATGACCACAGCAGACCCTTCCTGAGCACACCCTGATGCTGGTTCCTGGCAGATTTTGGAGCTGATTCCCATGGCCCCATTCCTCCCTACCTGGGGCTGTATTTGGGGTTGTCCCCATGTTGATTTGATGCACGAGAGCAGTGATTTCCACTGCTGACTGAACTGTCTGGAGTGCAAACCCTGCCTGGCACTGCCTCCAAAATGGCATTTTGGGTGCAATGATGGTACCTGCAAGTAAAGAGCCACTTTGATGGCTGAACAATCTGCAGTGCAAATGCCTGCCTGAAAACCATTGGAAAATGACATTTTCTGCCTGTGATAGTACCTTTGAATGAGCAGACACTTAGGCAACAGCTTAAGTAAACTTGCTACTTAAAACCATCACTGTTGTGAGAGCACTSTTGCCTCATTTGGTGCTACTCAGTTGATGCTGCAGCACGAATAAACTTAATAAAACTTATATAAACTTATAAAATTAATTGGTGTCCCCAATTAATTAATTGGAGGACGTAATTCAGCACTTCTGGTTTTGGCTGCTCATATTTCTTTCCCAGGAAAAAAAAAAAGAACTAATTCTAATCTAAAATCGCTTTGTGATTTGAGCTTCAAGTTTCTGGTAGGTCTGGGGGAAATGCATTAATGATTTTATTTCTCCCTGTCTGTTCAGTTCACCAGAAAATTCTCTCTTGGATGATGCAAAATGCAACTTCATCTCATGGGTGGATGGAGTCCTGAGCTAGGGCACTTTTTTTTTTTTGGAAATGAAGAAATCTGTCTATAAATGACCTGTA